CCAACTGCTTCTTTCTTGGCTCATTTTCATTTTGCAAAGAACATTCTTTAGGGTTTTTTCACCAAGAGTTTATTAGCGCTGAACTTTCACAGTCCTTTTATAACTGAAAATGCTTTTACCTTACACTTACTCTTGGAAAACATTGTAGTAAACTCTCTTTCTCCCTCGTATCTATTTTTGTCATCAATACCATGTATTTTAATTCTACATATATTTTAACCTCAACAAGATGCCATCATAGTTTAAACTGTCAATATTCATTGAGTTTTAACCACACATCTACCCCTTCTTCCTTCTTTATACCTTGTGTTACTGAGCTTCAAACAGGGATCATTTTCCTTTGCCTGGAGAAGTCTTTTGGTACGTCTTTTGGTGTAGGTCTACTGGCATTAAATTCCCCCTAGTTTTTGTGTCTGAAAATGTCTTTATTTTACTTTCATTTTGGAAGCGTATTTTAACTCGATATAACTTTCTAGAGTGGCTGCTATTCTCTTTTAGCACTTTGAAAATGTTATTCCGTCATCTTCTCCCTTCCACATTTTCTTTCGAAGAGTCAGTCATCAGTTTTATTGCTACTCCTTTAATATTATGCATATCTCCCTCTTCCTCTGCTGATTTTTAGATTTTTTTCCTTTTTCTTTAATTTTTAAGTGTTACTATGATGTGTATAGATATGATTTTCTTTGTGTTTGTTCTACTTGAGGTTTTTAGAGATTTTCTAATCTGAGGCTTAATGTCTTTCACCGATTCTCGAAAATTATCAGACAGTAGCAAATAAAATTTTTACCCATTCTCTTTCTCCTCTCTCTTTGGGACTACATATGTTGATCTTTTTATGTTGATGTCTTACAAGTTCATTTTACAATTTTCTTTATTTTCCTGTCCTTTATATCTCTGCTTTAATCTGTATAATTTCTTCTGACCTACTTTCCAGTTCACTAATCATCTCTTCCATTGTGTCCAATTTATTGTGAATCCTATATTGAGTACTTTATTTCTGAAATTTTATTTTTAATTTCTATGATTTCTATTTGATTTATTTTTTACTTTTTTAAAGATTGGCACCTGAGCTAACATCTGTTGCCAATCTTCTTTTTTTTCCCCATCTTCTTCTCCCCAAAGCCCCCCAGTACATAGTTGTATATTCTAGTTGTAGGTCCTTCTGTTTGTGCTATGTGGGATGCTGCCTCAACATGGTGTGACGAACGGTGCCATGTCCGTGCCCAGGATTCAAACTGGCGAAACCCTGGGCCACTGAAGTGGAGTGCATGAACTTACCCACTCAGCCATGGGACCGGCCACCTGATTTATTTTTATATATCTTAGTTGTCTAATAAAACTTCTCCACATTTTCATGCATTTTCTGTATCATTCTCTTGATATTCTTGAACATATTAATCAAGATATCTTAAATTATGTATCTGATCACTTCAAAATTTGGGTCATCTGAGTATTTCTACTGTCTGTTTTTGTTTTTCAATAGTTTGGTCAAGGACATTTCTTTTTCTTTTTGAGGAAGACTAGCCCTGAGCTAACATCTGCCACCAAGCCTTCTCTTTTTGCTGAGGAAGATTGGCCCTGGGCTAACATCTGTGCCCGTCTTCCTCTAGTTTATATGTGGGACGCCTCCCACAGCATGGCTTGAAAAGTGGTGCATAGGTCTGCACCTGGGATCCGAACCAGCAAATCCCAGGCTGCCAAAGCAGAGCATGTGAACTTTGCTGCGACACTGGGGCAGCCCCATCAAGGACATTTTTGATTGAATGTGGAATTTGTATGTGAAACTATTTAGAGGCACTGGATGATGTTATCTTCCTCTACAGATGATTAAATTTTTTCTTCTTCTTTTCCCCAAAGCTCCCCAGCACATAGCTGTGTACTCCAGCTGCAGTTCCCTCCAGCTCCCCCATGTAGGACACCACCCCAGCATGGCCTGACAAGTGGCCCCAGGCCTACGCCCAGGACCTGAACTGGCAAAACCCCAAGCTGCCAAAGCAGAGTGTGCAAATCCAACCACTTGGCCACAGGGCTGCCCCTAAGGATGATTAAATTTTCTTCATGCTCTCATTTAACTAGAGACAGATTACATTGATTCCTGTCAGACTTTGAGATGGTTGGAGGCTGGGTTTAAAGCTTTGTAAGGGATGATAGATTACTGTTGTAGCCTTTAACCTAGGGACTAGTCAGTCAGTGATCTCTGCTTAAAAATTGGCATATTGTCAAGGATTCCTTCTCCATTTCAGGCTCTGAACTCCTGTTTTTGTCTGTTTAGCCCTCCAAGACTGCCCTAATCTATAGCTATCCTTGAAACACTTTAATAACTTTGAGGTTTTTTGGTGTGTGTGTGTTTTGCTGTTATTATTCCTCCACCTTTCCCCATTGCCCAGAGACTTAGGATTCAGAAAATTCCTTCAGTCAAAATCCTTGCAGAATGTCATACTCATTTCTCTGTGATTCTGTTCTCTCTGGGATCCTGGTTGCTCTACCTATCTTGAATCCCAATTTTTGTCTTCCCATCCCCATGAGATTGCTAAAAGCGCATGGCCACTGCTTTTTGCTGTGTCTCTATCTTCCAGCTATGAAACGGCAAATGCCCTGAGAGGAAAAATTAGTGGCAAGTGTCTAGTTTATTCTAGTTTGTATTCCTTTCCTCTAGGATCTTGACTTCCTTGCCCTGGCTGCTTTGATTGCTCTTGAATATCTTCAAATAACTGACTTTAAAAAAAAAAAAAAATCTTGCGTTATAGTTGTTCTTGATGTGAGTGTTAATTTGATGACTGTCTCTTAAAAAGCTTAACTTTGGACTTAAAAAGTTAAAGTCTAAAGCCTATACAGCCTTTTAATGTTAAATGAACCAGACTTTTTCCAATTGCAACCTTTTAGATTGTCTTGAATTTTTAGCATCCTCTGGTTACACCAAATAGGAGATGGCTTTCAAAGTTGTTCTTAAAACATCTCTTCTGCCCTCTCTACTTGTGAGATAATCATATAATTGTTCATTATGTACCTATTGCTTCTACTACATCCATCCTAACAGAAGAGCCTTTGAATGGCAACAAAACAAAAACTGCCGAATAGACTAGTTGAGAGGGAGAAATACTGGTCTTCCTTAAGTAAATAATAATGAACCAAATCCTCATTTTAGCCCATTGAGAATCAGGGTAGCAGTCTGCATCAGTGCATTTTTGTTTTTGAAGTAAATAACTCTCTCTGGTCCTACTTTCTGTAGCCCTCACATAGTGACATCATAATAGTGACTTTTCAAAATGCAATTGATAGATCTTTGCATTTGCCACTAGAATATTTTCATCATAATTTTTAACACTTTTTGGGATTTGGTGTCAATGTGGTTGTCCACGATTCATTTATTGAATCTCTGTCTTATTCCAGGCACTGGACATGCAGTGATAAACAAACAGACACATAGCTATTCCGATCTGTGATAAAATGACATGCCTCAGGGGGATGAGGCAGGTAGAACTTAATCACTCTGTTTCCCGAATACTGCCATACTGCTATACTGTCTTGATTCACAGTGGGGCTGTCTTTTCCCTCACTGATGCTTCTGAAATTGTGTGGTTTATAGGGCTGAAATTGTGTGGTTTGTAGGGCTGAGTACTTACTTCCACATTGCATGCTGTTATTCTGCTTTTGGTGGTGATAATGCTGTCTTCTTTCTTGTTGCATCTCTCTTCTTCATGGTAACTTCTTGAAGCTACCAGAATGATGTAACTTTTTTTTCCTCTTCCTTTCTGTTCAGCCACTCCTGCATGGTTGCCAAGGGAAACCAGAGAAGTAAGTATTAAGTGTAATATTAATTTAAATATTCTTTGTCTGGATGGAGATAAAGTGTATGACTTTAATGACATCTATTTCAAACTAGCTGCAAGCTCTTGCTGCATTTACTTTAGGCTTTTTATCAGGCTCACAGGTGTTCCAGAGTTGAGGTTCCTGAAAGTCTAAGTACCAGATAACAGGGTGATGTCTATGAGGAGAAAGTCCAGACAATGTTGTTGGGGAAATCAGAGGGAGGGCAAGCATTATGGCATATTTGAGATGGTCCTAATTAAAAAAAAAAACTGTAATATGAATGAGTATTTTTAACTCATTCTTAGCAGCTCCTGCTCCAAGTTCCCAAATGGTAAAGAACTAAAGGGAAAGAAAGGACACTCACTGGATAAAAGTCAGCAAATTCATCCTGCCCATGCCCGTTCAACGCCCTGGTCATTCTACTCTCAGCTTCTCAAGTTCTCACTGTCTTCAGTTCTGCAGTTTTAATTTGCTCTGTCACATTGTGACAGTTATTAACTAGCTTCTGCAGCAGACACACCTTTCTATTCTCTGCTTTGTGTTGCTGGACCCTGCAAATCACAGTTTTTGCTTTTCCAGCTGCCCCTGCTTAGGCTTCGAGCATAGGGAATGCTAGAGGGAAACTGGAGGTGGAGAAAAAAGGCACTTGCTCCTCCCTGTTTACTGTCATTGTCATCACAGCAATGATTCTTTACCTTGACAGTGACAGGTAAATGCTGTAGCACCAACTGGTTTCTGTCTGCAGTTTTTCCCTATTCCCAGTACCAGCCTTAACGCAAACTCAGAGATATAACACCAGCTGTGCGGTGTCCTTCCTCAAAGGACTAAGTCCCAGCTCCGTGGACTCCTCCTCCAGCCCTCTACATTTTAATAATCCCAATGTCTTCCTTTTGTCCCCTCAGCCCTAAGAGCGGTAGTTCCTTCCTATAGTTACCATCTCTGTGACAGGTTAGCTTCCATGTTTGCCTTTTTAGTTCCCTACAAATGACTAATAATTATTTAGGTTAAATTCTCTCTGTGGAAACAATTTGTGTAGTTTCTCTCTTTTGAACTGGACCCTGAGTGATGCTCATGTGCCATTTTATTTCTTCCATAAGAAGTACCAAAGGTTTATGGCACACTAAAAGCATATACAGGATAGCCAATATTCATATCAAGGAGCCATAGCTCCTGGATTCCAGGGGAGGAGCATATGCTGTAGCATAAGGCTTCCCCATTCAGACAGTAAGAGAGTAGTGTGTAGTCACTGATTTCTAAAACTCGGAAATTTCTAGTAATCAATTCAGGTTAATCCAGAAAACTGATGATAGCATGGGGAATGAGGTTTGTTGCCACTCATTGAGTTTTATTTTTTATTCTACAAGGTAATTAAGTGTTCCGAATGGATGAGTCTTGGCACCTCTGCTGAAGTCATCTACAGCCTGGCTCTCATGGTAACTTATACTTAACAGTTGTCGAAATGGCTATTAAATAATTATTTGGCTAGTTCTTGAATGTTTATTTACCCACTTGGGCTTCTTCTTAAGGACAAGGATTATGTCTATTTTTTTCCTTTCCATATTTCTAATTCATAGCACAGTACTTGGCAGGAAGGTGCTCAAAAAAAGGTGCTCAAATGAGAAACAAAAGAAAAAAAGATAATTTAAAATCTTTAGACTTTAAACATTGGTGCACAACATGTCTCTTTCTGAGAATCACCAATCGGTCTAGACATCCAGGACATCATTTTCCTCTAAACTTCCTCTTCTTCTGTTATTTAAGGTTGTCCACCAAGCAGGGATAGGACTTAGGGAATGAGTTGATGTGTACCAATTGCTGTCATTCACTTCCCCTTCCTACCATTCTCACGTAAAAGAGGATGTCAAGATTTCTGGTCCAGAAAAATAATAATCCTGAAAATCTTTCTGCTAAAAAAACCTAGAAATGCTGGATAAAAGTTAACAAGCATTGTTTTAAATATATCTCTGAGTTGGGTCCTGCTTTTTAATCTGTTATGATATTCCCTGCCCCCTTTTTGGAGTGTTTAGTCCATTAACATATAATGTAATGATTGATATGGTTTGATTTAAGTCTGATGTTTTATTATTTATTTCTGTTTGTCTCCTCTGTTTTTTTTGTTGTGTTTTGTTATTTTCTCACTTTCTACCTTCTTTGGATTATTTGAATATTTTTTTGAATTATATTTTTCTTTATCTATTGGCTTTTTAGCTATACTTTTTTGCACTAATTTCTAATTGTTCACTCCATAGGTTGCAATATACATCATTAACTTTTCACAGTCTGCTTGTATTTAATGTATCATGTTACATAAAATGTATAAATCTTCATTTGTATAGGTTCATTTAACCCTCTATTTGCCATCCTGTATGCTCTAGCTATCATGTATATTACATCTATATACATTATAAACTCCAAAAATTATGCTGTAATTTTTGCTTTAAACAATCATGTTTATTCTAAATAAATTAAGAGGAAAATAGTCATGTATATTTATCAGATATTTACCATTCCTGATGGTCCTAATTCATTCCTGAAGATCTGAGCTTCCCTTTGGTGTCATTTCCCTTCAGTTTGATGAGTTCCCTTTAGCATTCCCTGTAGTGTACTTCTGGTGGTAAGGAAATCTCCTAGTTTGCCTTTATTTGAAAACTTGAAAAATTTTAAAGTTTTCTTTAATTCTCATAGGATATTTTTGCTAGATACAGCATGCTGAATTGATATTTTCATTCTTTAAGCACTCGAAAAATATCTCTCACTGTTTTCTGGCCCCCATAACTTTTGGAAAGTTTAAAGTCATTGAATAATTTTTCCTTTTGTATGTAATGTATTGTTTTCTTTGGACTGCATTCACAGTTTTCTCTTTATTTTTGGTTTCAGCAATATATTGGTTATCTGTTGCTGTGTAACAAATTATTTCCAAACTTAGCAACTAAAATAATACATATTTATTATCTTACAGTTTCCGTGAGTCAGGAATTCAGAATCTGGGCAAAGCTTTTGGGGTCCTCTGGTTTTTATCTCTCATAGGTTACAGCCTTCTCAGGCCTGAATGTGAAGAATTTGCACATAGCTCACTCATGTGATTGTTGCCAACATTCAATTCCTGTGGGCTGTCAGCCAGGTGTGTCAGTCTCTCAAGAGCTAATGGCCAGAACCTCCCTCGGTTCTTTGCCACATGGTCCTTTCCATAGAGCATCTTATAACGAAGCAACTTGTTTCAGGAAAGCAAGCAAGAGGGGAGTAGAGAGAGAGAATGAGAAAGAGAATGCACTACCAAGAGGAAAGTCACAATTTTTGTAATCTAATCACAGAAGTTATATCCCATAACTTTTCTGTATTCTATTCATGAAAAGCAAACCACAAGATTGAGACTGTAGTAAGAGGAGGGGATTACACAAGGGCACGAATACCGGGAGTTTAGGGTCACTGGAAGCTACGTCAGAAACTGTCTATCGCAAACAGTTTGACTAGAATATGCCTAGATGTGGTTTTCCTTGTATTTACCCTGATTGGGGTTATTAAGCTTCTTGAATCTGTATATTTATGTCTTCCACCAAATTTGGGAAGTTTTGTTGCCATCATTTGCTCACATATTTTTTCTACTCCATTTTCTCTCTTCATTCCTGTATGTAAGCCCTTTTGATATTTTCCCTCAGATTTTTAAGACTTTGTTAATTTTTCCAAAAATTTTCTTTCTGTTTTTCAGATTGGACGATTTCTATTGATCTAACTTGAAACTGATTCTTTCTACTCTCAACTTTGTTCTGATGTTAAGTCCATCCAGTGAATTTTTTATTTCAGGTATTGCATTTTTCAGTTCTAAAATTCCCATTTAAAATACACAGCAGTGCTCTAACCCTTATTAGGCATTCCTTCAAATTTTTTAGTATAACAGTAGCCTCGAAAATGGAAGCCGTCGGACCTCTCACAACCTCTGAAAAGATTGTTATTTAGACAGTATTCAACAAATGTTTACTGATTTGAATTTAATTGTAACAAAGCCAGTGAAAGCAACATCAAGGCATAGAAAGTCCAGGAAGGGAGCAAGAAACGTCATGTGTCTTTACTGAGTTGTTTTGTGAAATCTAGCACACTGTTAAATCTGATTAGTAGAGAACCAAGTAAAAGGAGTGTATGTCTTAGTTCACAGACAAAGAAGGTTTTAAATCTGTGTGGCAGCAGATTGTCAGGTGGCTCCCTTGGTCTCTGTCACCTGACGTTCATACCTTTGTGTGATTGCCTCCCCTTGAGTGTAGACAGGACTTGTAACTTGCTTCTAACCAATAGCATATGATGAAGGTGATGACATGCCACTCCTGTGATCCCATTATGCAAGACTCTGTCTTGCTGGCAGACTCACTTTACAGGCTCTCTTTGCTGGCTTGATGAAGTAAACGGCAATGTTGGGGAAAGCTACATAGCTGGGGCCCTCAGTCTTACAACCACCAAGAACTGAATTCTGCCAACAGCCCAAATGAGCTTAGGAGGGGATTTTACCCCCAGTTGAACCTCCAGATAAGAACACAGCCTGGCTAACACCTTGATGTTAGCCTTGCAGCAGACCGAGCTAAGCCATTCCTAGACTCCTGACCCACAGGAACTGTGAAATAATAAATGTCTGTTGTTTTAAACCACTAAACTTGTAGTAATCTGCTATGCAGCAATAGAAAATGGTTATAATCTGCATGGTTATGTAAGTTTGCCACCTTTTATTTTGTTGAGAGTGATTTTCCTAACTGATTTTCATACTCAATATGCTGCTTGAGTTTTAGGAAATGAAATATTTTGAGAGCAGCAATTGTATAGTGTAATAGCAGGAACAAGAGAACTCTGGGGAACCCATAAGAAAAGCATTTCTTTTAATGATCTGGTGCCAACATTTTTACTCTCGGGAATTTGTCCATAGAAATAAAAGCCCATTCAGCAAGGGAAGATAAATGCATGTATATATTTTTAATTGCACTGTTGTAATGGCAAAATAACTGGAAACAAATTTTTAATGACTTGCCAAATTGCTCTCCAAAAAAGCTGCTAAAATTCACATTTCCACCAGAATGTGTAAGTATCCTTTTTCCTTTGTCTTTGTAACGGATCACTCCTATCCATGTGCGTTAGTTTGCTGGGGCTGCCGTACAAAGTACCAGGCGGCTTAAACAACTGAAATTTGTTTTCTCACAGTTTTGGAGGCTAGAGGTCTGAGATGAAGGTGTTGGCAGAGTTGGCTTCTTCTGAGGTCTCTCACCTTGGCTCTCGGCTGGCTGCCTTCTCCCTGCATCTTCACATACTCCTCCTTCTGTGTGTTAGTATCCACACTTTCTCCTCTTAAAAGGACACAAGTCATAATGGATTAGGTCCCACCCTCATGACCCCATTTTTACTTCATTGCCTCTTTAATAAGAACTCTATCTCCAAACACAGTCACATCCTGAGGTATTGAGGGTTAGGACATCAACATATGAATTTTGGGGAGGGGATATAATTCAGCTCATAACACCATCCTCATGGCTCAGCTTAAATATCATTGCCTCAGGCAAGCTTTTCCTTATCCTGAGAGAAGTTTGTATCCTTCTGTCATATACTTGTAACAAATATATGACATATATATGTACCTACACTTCTGCTTCATGATATATCATAATAGAAATGTTAACCCATTTTTGTAAAACAAACAATGACGATTCTTCTCTATGTATGTGTTTGTATATTTGTGTATAATTTTATGAAAATGGAGAAAGGTATAGAAAGATACAGCCTAGATTGATAACATTGGTTACATGGGGGTTGGAGGAGAGCGTGTGGTAAGGAGAATGGGGAGATGTAGTATGCAAACAAACAAACCAAAATCAGCAACAAAACCTGAAAAAATATAGTGTTTATGCATGCATAATAATATTACATAACTTATTATCTTAAAAAAGTTTTTCATTGACTCTCTATTGTTGTATAACAAAGAACTGCAAACTCTCAGTGATACAGAGTGATAAGCGTTTATTTATCTTCTACATCTCTGGCTTGGCTGGGCTGGCAGAGAAGGCTTTGCTCAGTGTGAGATCAGTGGCAGGGCTGGGGCAGGCTCTTCTCAGGGAATGGCAGAAGCTCAAGAGGTCAAGAGGAGACATGAGAGGCATCTTTAAGCCTAGGCTTGAAACTGGCACATTGTCATTTATTGACCAAAAGGAGTGACAAAGTCAGGGAATAGGGAAGTGTACTATAACCATGGATATGGGGGTAGGAGAGGGAGTTAATATTTCTGATCGGTAATCTAATCTAAAACAGCTATATAAATATATATTCAGGGGAATGCATTTCCATGTGTACATAGTTTTATGAAAGGATGGATTCCAAATTAAGGGGACTTACCTGAATATGGTAGAGTTTGAAATTATAATTACTTTTCGTTATTTTTACTTTGTGTTTAAAGTTTTGGTCATACATACACTGCTTTGTGTAATCTAACAATAACAGTAAAGATATTTTATTGGGGAATGAAGTAAATTTTTTTCAGATGAAGGGGATGGTGGGGAGAAGGAAGAGCAGCTTAACTGAGAAAGCTCTCCAGAGCCAGGCTAGCTCTATAGACAGCCGTGAATCCATAAAGAATGGAAGTAAAAACTTCCTGACTTTGCCAACATTATTTTGGCCATTATGCAAAATCACTGAGTTGAGTCATGTAGATATTCAGCTCCCATTTAGTATATTATTATCCTAATCTAATTTAATCATTGTTTTATACTATTTAAGAACAGAAATGAAAGCATTGGATCCCAAAAACCTAGCTGATCACTAATCACCCAGGGAGCCTTTTCAAATTACATAAATTTCAAAGCCATCCTGCTGACTCAAATCTGTGAAGTGGGGCTTAGAAATCAGCATTTTCACAAAGCTTCCAGATAATTTTTGTGATGACCCACATATGAAAACTCTTAGATAAAGTCAGTTGTGTAGAGTTTTCCAGCGATTCCTCTCCCGCACAGATGATGGAAATGAAAAGAACTAAATTACACGATTGTCCATGGGCCTTTCAGCTGTCTTGATCCAGATCAGCTGTTTACACTGCCCCCACGTCACAACCACAAACAACTAACAATTGCCGTGACCTCACGTTGCTTACTGTGTAGACTCGGATCTTATAACTGGCCATGAAACGTGTGGCCCTGATCTTAGGGGTAAGCTATCTGCTTGCGGGGGAGACTGATTTACTTTGTAAGTGAAGTTTAACAGTTCACAGAAATTCTTTACTGGGCTGACCTCCATGCAGAGGGTTCTCTAATAGGGTTGAGAAACCTCCATATGACAAGAAACACTCTTCCTTCACCTAAAAATGTAAGTTTTCCCTCAGACACCCAGGTATTGGCTCAGTGAACCTGGTGGCCACACATCCCAGATACAGGTATATAGCAATTTTTTAGTTTAATATTTTTAACTTTTTTTTTCCTCCTCAAAGCCCCAATACATAGTTGTACATCATAGTTGTAAGTTCTTCTAGTTCCTGTATGCAGGATGCCGCCACAGCATGTCTTGATGACCCGTTTGCACGTCTATGCCCAGGATCCCAACCAGCAAACCCTGGGCTGCCAAAACAGGGCGCGAGAACTTAACCACTACACCACCTGGCTGACCCCTAGTTTAATTTAAAAAATTATTTGGTTCCGTTAATGCTTTGTTCTTAAAGCCAGGCTTTGAGGCTGCTTTACCTCCAAGTGAGCAGAGCTTAGGCTCCTTGGAGCAAGAGGAGAAAAGCCTGCTCTTTGCACTCTGGCTGAGAAAACAGGGGAAAAACTAATGTTCAGAATTTGGGGCAGAGGGGAGAGGGAAAAAGTTGAGAATGCTTGGATATGCAGGAAGGGAACTTCGTGAGAGAGAAAGTGGAGGAAAACTGAGGAGGCCTCAGGTCCTCTCACAAGCTTGTCAAGTCTGTCTCAATGTGGAGAGCAAAATCAAATTGACAGACAGTTAACAATTTGGACCAGTTTTCAAAATTTCTCTGTATTACAGCCAAAGGAATTTGGAATTTACAAAGATCCAAAGTCAAGTAATTTTCCCTTCATATTTCACATGGGTAAAACGTGCATAGAAAAGTAAATAAATCTAAATTAAAAGTACAAGAATACACATTTCGTGTCCTCTTGCCCTTTTTAAGGGCTGGAAAATTCCATCTCCACCCATTCCATCTTAAACATCTCACTTGCTGAATTTTGGATGGAATCTTATACTCTAGGCTACAAAAGATAAACACGAAGTCCTGTCAGGTACAAGGCATCCCAATTTTAGCCACAAATTTGACTAACTTGTCCCTTGTGTCAATAATTAGGAGTGCCAAAAAGAAAGTGCAGAACAAATAAAAATCTGATTAGAATTACAAATGAAAACACCAGTCACCAAATTCAGACTAGAGTCTGGTTCTGTTGAAATGTGCTGACTCTGGTTTGGGGGAACGCCATCGTGCTGTGTGGCTGGACCCGCAGAGTTCCAGCATGGCCCTTTCTCTCCCTCAATTTTTTCATCCACTGTTCTTCACTTATGGCATACCATTCACCATTGTGTTAAAGGTAGTGAACAAAACAAAAACAAAACAAAACAAATCAAAACTTCCAGTTCTCCCAGAGATGTTCCATAAATGCTCAAGGTAAAAACACTGCCTTTCTTTTCCAAGCGTTAGAAACTTAACCAAACGAATATCCCTTTGCTTCAGGTTGTTCTGGAGAATATTTTTGTGGATCCAATTTACTCAGTAGTTTTATAAAAACAGCTACATATTCATTTCCAACTTGAACCAGTAAAGTACTTTTTAAAATCCTTTAAATTTATTTGAAGAGCAGTTAAATGTAGTACTCGAATTCAGCAAATGTGTGCAATTTGTTTTCAGATTTGGATTGTTTCAGTTTTGTTCCAGTATCAGCCTAGGCTACCACAATTAAATCAGTCTTGGAAATAAAAGGATGAGTCCAGTTAAATAATTTTTTTTTGTATTATATTTGGCCCTCACTAAGAGAAGAACTTTCTCTTCTAAGTAAAGGAAGAGCAGATTGGGAAGTGACATGTCAATGGTGGTTGTGGGCTAAGAAGATGCTAACAGAGCTTATCATCTGATCTTCGTAAAGAGGGGAAGGAAGCAGAACGTTTTAGGCAAGAATTTTTTTCCCTTCTTCCATGATTATTTTAACCATATGGTAAGCCATATTCTTATTCCAACTTATATGACAGTGACCCAGAAAGCGATAAAAGAGTGAAAGGAAAGGTCCAAAGAACCATTCTGGAACATTTGACAACTGTTTAAAATTGTTTCTCCCCTCAGGCTTCCTAAACTCAAGTCCTCAAATGCATCTTGTTTCTCAAGTAAACAAACAAATGAATAAAGTTTATTTTGCCTTAAGAGACATCCAAGGAATTAGTTTTTTTCTTCTTTCTTTCTTTCTTTTTTTTTTTTTGCTGAGGAAGCCCTGAGCTAACATCTGCTGCCAATCTTCCCCTTTTTTCTTGTATGTGAGTCTCCACCACTGCATGGCCACTGACAGAGGAGTGGTGTAGGTCTGCACCCGGGAATAGAATCAAGGCCACTGAAGCACAACAAGCCAAGCTCAACAACAAGGCCACTGGGGCTGGTCCAGAGTTTATTTTTTAAATGCTAAAGACTTAACCAAAAATCCAGCAAAAGTAGCAGAACAGATTGTTTTCATTGCTTTAAGAGGACCAATGACAGTGCTAGGGATTTAATGTTTGTGTCCCTCCAAAATACTCAATGTGATGGTATTTGGAGGTGGGACCATTGGGAGGTAATTAGATTTAGGTGAAGTCATGAGAGAGGGGAAGAATGCTGGAATTAGTGTCTTTATAAGAAGAGGAAGACACACTAAACTCTTTTTCTCTCCACCATATGAGCAAGAAGATAGCCATCTACAAGCAGGAAGAGCGCCCTTGCCTGGAACTGAATCTGCCAGCACCTTAATCTTCGACTTACCAGCCTCCAGAACTGTGAGAAATAAATGTCTGTTGTTTAAGTCACTCAGTCCATGGTATTTTGTTATAAGAGCCTGAGCTGACTAATACAGACGAGTTCAAGGGAGTAGTCATAGGATGTACAGAGCAATCCTAAAAGTAAGTGATGGGGCCTGTATTCAGAACATAATAGAAATAAAGGTAGAATGGATACAAGTTAATCAGCTGGTCTTGTGAGAGCCAG